TTATATAAAAATATATTTAATGTCTTAAAAATAATTAAAATAATATTAAAAATACGAAACGCATTATGGCGCTTATTCTTCGCATTAATACGCTTAAACTTGTGATTCTTGATTCTCGACCTCGACGCATCGCAACGCATTACGCATTTTAGAACATTACCTAAATCAAGTTTTGATGAGAGCTGCTATTTGTACAATCCCCTGACCGGCCCCCTCACAATAGGGGGGCCCACATTTTTCCTTTAAGATATATTTATATTTTTCTATATTTTCATGAACAAATTGAGTTCCCGTTTGGAATTAAACTATTTGTATAATGAATTTGCACAATGATTTGATAATGTGTGAGGTGTATAGATCATTGTCATTGAATTCAAAGACAATCTTTCAAATCAATGAACATTATGCCTGCTAATTCACACATTGTCAAATTCATTGTACAAGTAACATGGTTCCCCTGTTTGATTCCGCTAGTTGTTTAGTAATTTTTGTTAAAGATTAATAAAATATATGATTGAAAAATTGATAAAAGAATGTTTATCTAAAATATGATATATGTAATTGAAATTAATTAATCGTTGACTTTTACTTAAAATTTTATCAATTCTTAGCAAATGTAATTGTCAGAAATTTCAACATAAATTTAAAATTGCTTTTATACTACGTTTTAAAATTTTGTATGATTCATTAATTTTGAAAAACATAATCACTACAAAAGTATGTATAGGGTAAAACTTATTTGCGGTCGTTAGTATTTTAATTGTGTTATTAAACTTTCAATTGGATAACTCACCTTTAATTTATGTTAATTAGGTCACTTAATTTCAATTTTATTTTTAATTTTTACCTCCCTATCACATATTGTCTTCCAAATTGATGAAAATTACTGTACAACATATCTTTCTGTAATCGTAAAGTGACATAAAAACTTACCGCTATGTCACGTGTGATGGAATGTGACAGATTGATGAAATTTAAAAATAGACCGAAGTTCCCTAACCTAAACAGTAGGTGATGGAATAAGATGAAATCGTGAAATTTGAAACTATATTAAAGTTGAGTTACTCAATTGCTTTTAGGAGCACGCAATTCATTTCCCAAAGAAATTATTAATTCAATTTAGGTCCTCCACAAAATAAAAAGAAAAAGAATATAAAACGAACAAACTCTGTAATTTCCGTACAGTAGCAGATAGAGACAAAATAATCAGAATTCAGTATATATACGTGTGCACACACATTCTCACTACTGTATAGCATAGTTACTCTTCTCTCAATTTTGAGCTTTAAAAAACAAAACAACAATGGCGGATCCTAACACATATGATTTCTGGAAGCTATCTACAGAACCATCAAAAACCAGCCACAAACCAAAATCATCCTCCAGTTCCAGAATGTTCTCATGCCTCTACTGCACTCGTAAGTTCTGCACTTCTCAAGCTTTGGGAGGTCACCAAAATGCTCACAAGAGAGAAAGAGCGGCCAACAGAAGAACATTCACCGCCAGCGGTCTACTCCTCCAGAATGAAATACCATCACCACCTTTCTCTTACTGGCTCCATCCACTTTCTCCTATTCACTATGCCTACGGTGGCGGCTCCACCTCAGCTCCTCTAGGTGTTTTTGGCGGTGGATCATTTACTCCAGACCCATTTTCTCCTAACAATGATTCGACAGACAACGTAGACCTCGACCTAACGCTACGTTTATAATCAGTTTCAGTGACATGGGTTTTTGGTATTAAACATGAATCGTATGGAGTTTTAGTATTTAGGAAGGCAGAATGTTTAGTGATGCTTTGAGGTTTTTTGTGGGATTTGAGTTTATTTTGATACTATGTTGAAGTGGAAGTGGAGATTACTTTAATGTTTTTTCAACAACTACAAATTAAATTAATTACTGCTACACCCATATCACCAGTTTGGTACTCTCTCTCTCTCTCTCTCTCTCTCTGGATATAAATATATGAATGTTTAGGTATTTTTTATTTCTGACTATGTATGGAAGATTATTGATAAAAGTAAAGATGTTTAGGTATTAATGATTCTGAGCAGTAGAAGGGATGTTAGTTGTTAGTGATACTGAGTTCAGTAGCAGAGGCTGAGGCTTAACAAACTTGGGTTGGATCCACCACCTCTGCATATTATAAACACACACACTCTACTACTGAACAAGTGTAGTACTGTACAATTTAATTTTAGCTAGTTGTTAAATGTACTGGGTTTCTTGTGAACGTTCCTTTTTTTTTTTTTTGAGTTTCTGATAGTGTGGGCATTTGGAAAACCGTGAACAAGACTCTGTTTTGGATGAATTTATATCATTAATATATAGAAATAAGATATGGATAAATGAATTTATAAAAATATATGATTGAAAATAAAATTTCACTGTTTATCAATTAATTAAAAAAATTGGCAAAGGAAAGCTCAATAATTGTCATAAATGAGATTACATTCTGTAATACAATTAAGCCCTTATTTGGTTTAGATAAAAAGAATATATTTTAATAAAAATTGATAGAATATGTGCTTAAAAAATTATGGATCCCAGTAAAAGCGTCGTTAAAATTAATTGTTGATTTTGGTTTAGATTTAAATCAATTCTTTTTAGCTGAACCAAAAAGGGGCCAAGTATAAATGTCTCGACTTGCTTGGAGGTAATACCAGACAAAAAATGTAGGATTGGATCAAAATCCAATCAATTTAACAGGCTAGTCTTTATCGTCAACGAATTTCAATTAAGGTACGTAGCTTGGCAATTATTCTTTGGTAAAATCCATGAAAGCCTCAAAATTCTTTTTAAATGTTTGTAATCAATCATATATCAAAAGTTGGGAGCTCCTCCATGCGTTGGTTAGTAACACTTGAACGTGCAAAAATATTCCGATATTGGTCGTTTTCTCTTTTATCCTTCAAAAAAGCTATGCATCTTTCTCTGCTTTTGAATTCCTGCTTCCCTTGTGCAACAAGCTATATTAAAATCTAAACGACCACAACCTCAAAAAATTCAGAGATTAATACCTTCTCTATTGTTGTAATTTTTAATCAAACTTAAATTTTATGAACTTGTCAAAATATTCATATCAAATTATCAAGAAATTGAGTTAACGTGGAACATACCTTAATTCATTGATTTCTGACTTGAATAATGAATCTTGATCAATAAATATTCAATTTGGTTGCTTCAAACCTCCTTCTTAATTCCTGATTGTATGTTTATGGATCTTCTTCTTCATATGCTTTCTCTTGTATTCTTTTGTTGATGGGATGTCACAAAGAATGAGAAAATCACACATGAATTGGGAACCATAACCCTTTATATATTTCCATATGTATTCGGCCAATCGTCAAATACAAACCCTAATGGATCCGGTGTCTATACATATAATCCGGCACACACTTNTATAGTCCGTCCCACACTTTATTTAAATTTCCAAATCCCAATTACTTAATTCCTTATTAGATCACTTTAATTTTTTTGTTTAACTTTAAGATATCATTTATACACAGTTAATTACATATGTCGACCTACATGGCAAATTAAATAATTTCCCAACAATCTCTCACTTTAGCCACATATGTTACCTTATAAATGTGTATAATCTTATGAGCTCAAATCTTTTGCTATCATAACCAAAAGTATTTCCAAACAATCTCGTCCACTGATTATATCAATATATGATCAAAGCGATTTTCGTTATAAGCCCCTGTTTGCCCCCCATTAATTTAAATTTTTGGGGGGTAGATAATTTTTAGAATAGTGATTGATGAGAGATGTGTGGTTGAAAAGTTTTTGATTTGTGTGTATTATTATTTTATTTGATGAATGGATGGTTGAGATGAAGAGAGAGAAAAAATTAATGTAATGGAATGTGATATAATTGGGGGCAAAAAAGGGCTAAATCATATTTAATTTGAATATATTAGAAAAAATTATATTTTCAATATTAATTATATTTTCTTAATCAGTGTAAAAATGAAAGTAAATTTATCTCTATGGGACGAACTAGTAAGAATTAAACTATTTGTACTGTGATTTTGTATTAAATTTGACAATCCAAGATGTGTAAACATTTTGACTATTGATTTGAATAAATAATG